GAGTCTTATCAAGCAGTGGAATCCTCAGCCCCAGAAGAACAGTCCACAAAAGAATATCCCTTCACTGAGGTGACACGAAAGAAGCGGAAAACTTCACCCCCTTCAAGATCTTCTCCAGTTCTATCGGAGCACGTTCTATTATTAAGGTCAAAGAACTCCACACGGACACCCGAAGGGATTAAAGCTCAACTTTCGGCAGATTTGAAACCCTCCCAGCTAGGGATCACTTTAGTGCAGATTCGGCCGACAAGGTCCAGAGAGCTTCTCATCCGGTGTCGAGAAAAAGCTCACCTGCTACGCCTGAAACAGGCAATCGAGGACAGGCCAGCACTACTAGAGACACTTGAATTTCGGGAGCCCAAGCCAAGAAGGGAAAGTGTAATTATTTTTGGAGTACCTGAGAATCTAGGAAAAGAAGATCTAACAGCAGCACTTGTAGACCAACTGCCCAATTTCAATCCCAGTGCTTTTCAAATACGAGCAAGCCGTTCCGGGCAAAGCGGAAGGAAAAACTGGGTGATAGACATAGACCCTAAGTCAGCAGAACACCTAGTTAAGCTAGGCCGTCTTTTAGTGGGTTTTGAGTCTTGTCCTCTCCGTCCGTACATTAGGATCATACGCTGTTACAACTGCCAGGAGTTCGGTCACTATAGCAGGAACTGTAAAAACGCTCCAGTTTGCGCGAAGTGTGGTAACAGCCACCCGACGCAGGAGTGTAGCTCGGAAAAAGTGAGTTGCACTAATTGCTGCAGTAGTAATTCTGAAAAGGGGACCTCTTTCAGCACAGATCACCCAGCTACTTCAAGTTCCTGCCCAGTGTATGGAGCCCATTTCGAGAGTCCTGAGAAGGACCACTGCAAAGAACTAAACCAAGATGACACTAAACAAACATATAGCAGGTCTTCGATTTTTACAGTGTAACTTGCAGAAGTGCTATGCAGCAACCATAAATACGCTGCAAGTAATGACACATACTGCTGCCAATGTCGGAATCTTCCAAGAGCCATACGTTTACAACGGAGTGATTCCTAGTGTTCCAACACACAGCAGAACGTTTCTCTCAAAGAATCAGCTAGCTGCGATTATTTACAGTGGCCCTCTCTCCCCTCTCCTAATGAAAATCACAGAGCATACAGTCTCCATCAGACTAGACACTAGTAATTGCAGCATTGATATTATTGCTGTGTATCTACCCCCGAGCGAAGATATTACCTCTCTATTAGAGGAACTTAATTCTAACCTTCTAACTGGGGCATCACACTGTATCATAGCAGGAGACTTTAACGCCACCAGTCAACTATGGGGTGCTGACTCGGAGAACCGAAGGGGAATTGCGGTACTCGAATTCTTGGACAGTAAGCATTTCATTGTCATCAACGCTCAGGACTCACCGCCTACCTTTGAAACATCTAGAGCTCGAGGGTGGCCAGATCTGAACAATATCAACTCCCAATACAACTCCGTACATACAAGATTGGACAGTGAGTGACCTGCCGTCACTCAGTGATCACAAAATTATTACTTACAGGCTGGATACTCCTATAGACTACATAACAAAGAAAAGATTCAAAACGGCATTTGGAGGACATTCCGTTTTACGGGAACACATTCGAGCGCATGTAGAGAATTTTATCAAAGATTTCAACAACTGCCAGGACAGAAACTCCTTAGATAATCTCTACGACTTACTAGTTACAAAAATAGTGCAAGCCGCCCACAAAGCATATCGTTTGAAATCTGTAAAGGCAAAACACTCGATATCCTGGTGGTCACCAGAGCTTAACACAGAGAGGAGCAGAGTTCGAGCACTTCGCAGAAAAGCACAATCCACGGTAGATCCATATCTACGGCAACTCAAAATGATAACATACAATAAAGCCAGAGCTTTATATAAAAGAAAAATTAAAGAGGCCAAGTTAATCTCATGGAGAACTTACTGTAGTAATGTCACTAAAGCCTTTGGACCTACTCAAAAGATAACATGTAACAAGGTGTTTCGTCCTACGACCCTTTCGCCTATGGTGAATAGCACTGCCTCATCCAACATCGAAGTAATCAGTGAGATCATAAATGCAGTTTTTCCTGATGATGATGAAGAGGATTTCTTAGAGGAGCAAGAGGAAGCGAGAAAAACCTACAGTATGAAATTTCGCCAAGTTACCAGAAGAGACGAACTCCCTCCTACGCAAATGGAAGTGGATAACATCATACGTACTCTGGCACCCAAAAAAGCTCCAGGTCCGGATGGAATTGATAATATCATCATTAGAGAGATACACCGGGAATTCCCAAAACTATTCCTTGCGGTCATTTCAGCTTGCTGGAAACATCAGTACTTTCCTAAAAATATGAAGTTGGCAGAAGTGGCGTTATTCCTAAAATCAGGCAAAACTCCGGCAGAACCTACATCTTACAGGCCAGTCTGTCTACTGCCAGCGCTCGGTAAGGTATTGGAAAGAGTAATTCTTTACAGATTGGACTTCTTCCTGCAAAGGAACAACGCCCTGCATCCCAACCAATATGGATTCCGAATGGGCAACTCAACTGAACATGCCATAAAAGACTTAATGGCCACTATCAAACAGAACAAGGATAACAATTTGCACTCACTGGCAATAGCCATTGACATCAAGGGAGCCTTTGACTCCCTTTGGTGGCCAGACGTAATAAATTTGCTGCACAACATGGCGTGCCCAACAGCCATTATTACCATCCTTCGCTCGTACCTTCAAGATCGAAGTGTACAAGTAACATCAGACAGCGGCATTTATGTCAAAAATGTCTTTAGAGGATGCCCACAGGGGTCATGCCTTGGACCAACACTGTGGAATATAGTGGCAAACTCGGCATTTCGTCAGTTTGAGAGCGTAGAATACGCTCGAATCATAGCCTATGCGGACGATTTTATGCTAGTTGTGGCAGGAAGGAGTAACCTCGAAATGAGATCTCAATACTGTCTTGATCTGTTCTCCCAATGGGCCAGAGCACATAAGCTTCAGATTTCGGCAGAGAAAACTAAAGCTTTGCTCATAGGACGCAGCAGGCAGCTAAGACGCAACCCAAGCATTAAACTCCATGGGATACCGGTAAAATGTTTCCCCCAATTGAAATATCTTGGGCTATTACTCGACAACAGACTTTCTTGGATGCCACATGTCAGGAATCTTAAGACTCGAATTAGCATCCTAAGCAACAACATGAGACGCATGACTTCACATAAATGGGGTATCTCATCTAAGCTACTAAAAATTTGGCATAGAACCATTACAGAAAGAGTAATAACTTACGGAGCAGCAATCTGGGGTGGCGAACTTACCTCTCATATGAAAAGATCCCTGCTCTCTATTCAGAGACAGCAGCTACTTCAAGTATGCAGGGCCTACCGTACCACGTCAACACTAGCCCTACAACAACTAGCAGGAATTCCTCCCCTAGATTTGATAGTAGAAAGGGAGGCAGCTATCGTAAGGGTTACCAGGCTGGGTCAAACTTCAACACTCTGGGGTCATAGTTATCACCACTCGGACTACGAGGAGCAAAACAACTGCAATAACTTTCATCCAGCAGCTTTTAATCTCTCTGACGGTATCAGTATAAACGACCAACCAATTCAGAGGTACAGTAATAACCTTTTCACAGATGGCTCCAAAACTGAGAACGGCACGGGCAGCGCCTTCTGTAGACTAGAAAATGGAGTTGTAACATTCGAGTGGAAAAGGAAATTAGGCTTGAACAACTCGGTATACCAAGCAGAGCTTCTAGCTATCAGTGCTGCAATTAGATATGCGAACACATGTCAACAGGAGAAATTCTCCATACTCAGTGATTCGGCATCAAGTCTGGCGGCTATCGCAAGTCAAAACAGCCGGAGTCCATTGGTATACAGAATTCAGAAACAGCTTCTGACAATGCCTATTTCGCAAAGACCCACTTTAAAATGGGTTCCCGCTCACACAGGGATTCAAGGCAATGAAGCCGCTGACCTACTGGCCAAGCAGGCAGCCAAGCAACTGCACGGATATATTAGAAAGACCAACTAAACTTCCTTGGTCTCATATTAAGCGAACAACTTTTGCAAGTCTGCTACAAAATTGGCAAAGTAGATGGACAGAGGCAGAGGTAGGACGAAGGACATTTCGCTTACTGCCAAAAGTTAACATGGAAATAAAGACCCACTGTGCTAGCCTAACACAGTTCTTGACAGGTCATGGACCATTCCCAGTATACCTGAACAGATTCAGACTTAGGGATACTCCTTTCTGCGAATGCGGAGAGGAAGGCGATACGGACCATTATTACTTCCATTGTGTACATACAAGAACCTGGCACTTGAAGAAACCAGCGGACTGTGCCTGGGCAATGTGGACGACTAACACACTCAAAAACAGAATAGCCCTTGATAAAATAGAGAAAATCTCAAGACACTGCCTAAGCAGAAACAACCGTGGATAATATTATAATGTTTCAAATGTTCAGAACTTAAAGCAGATAACCAGAATAACGCTTAGTGCCTTGCAGTTATCAATATGTAAAAACTGTTATTAGTATATAATATTCAACCTTGTTACTCTGGAGTCTTCCCCGCCGTGATGGTATATAATTCCGTTTGGTTCATGTCCGTGGTCGGAAGCCATCATAGTGGTGCACTCACTCACCTGGAAATGCACCTTCCTTTCTTTCTTATTTTTTAAGCTGCCTTGCACTGCAGGCACCGACTCCTCATGTTTTGTGTGCACTAATGTATTCTGACATCATAGTGCTAATGTTTGCATATGTATTGCTTTTCTACTGAGATGCTTTTCATTGTACTGATTGCAAAAAGTCCATTTTCAGTGTCATGGTTGTATGTTGAAAACTGAATTTGTTAAGTTATTCACACTAGTGTAGATGACCTTATTCAAAGTTTGGCATCTATAATTATTAATTAATAATAAAGCTATAAATAAGTATGTATTAAATAACTGTGCTGTATCAAGTAGTATACTGAATAAATTTTCTAGGAATTTGCTGATATTTTTTGTGAAGCTATACATAGGAGTACTGGGAAGAATGATGATTTCATACTTGAGTGCCTAGGAGTGATGGGAAATCTGACTATACCTGAATTAGATTATGAAATGTTGTTATTCCAATATGATTTGCTGGGATTCATGAAGAAAAAACTGTCGCAAGGTAAAAAAAAAAATAGTATTTTAAGTATCTTCCCTTTTAAAATGGATCTTATGTTAGTTGTAAAAGTAACATTTATTGGTATATTTAAACACTATTATTTTTTTTTTTATTATTATTATTTCTCCATTCCAGAAAATTGTGAAGATGATATGATTTTGGAAGTAATAATACTAGCTGGGACATTTGCTGCTGAAGAGGTTTGTGCTTCAACATTACTTGAATCAGGAATTATTAAACATGTCATAGAACATCTAAATGGTATGTACAATTATTTTCTGCTTTTGTTCTTTGTGCTTTGTTCCTTTTATTTGCAATTTTTAAGTTATCAGGACTTGTATTTCTTCTAATCTGCTTGGCGAACATCCTGACAAGACAGTGAGTTTGACTATAAACTATGTCCTATGAGTATAGAAGAGACGACCGACAAGATGAGAACGTTTTAATTACCCTTTATTTTCCATGATATTACCTCCGCTCCCATTCTTCGGGATACAAAGACCAACCACTTGTGGTCTGAATGTAAAAATATGCAAACTAACTAACTAACTAAAAATAAGAGGTAACTTTAAAAACTTTACACAAATAACTAACACTAAGACTGGTCTTTTAAATTATTACGTTGTAGTACACAAACTGCGGAAAACTACAGTACATCTTTAGCTTTCAAGAGGCCTAAAATCTCTGGCCTTAAAGGTGGACAGCAACTAATTGCTAACTCGCGTGAATTTGGCAAGAAGGCTCACTCTCTACCCATCTAACTCTGCTCTTGGCAAAAACCACAACTTAAATACTTAAGCGTTAGCAAGTACAATTTGTGTAAACATATTCCTGCGTTTATTCTGGCCGGAAGTGGAAAATAAGAGAACAAACAGTACAGTTTTAAAATAAAATAAACATTAGTAAAACTTGAGATCCTTACAAAGTGACTAATTTTGTATAATCCAATAGATGCTTCATTGTTAAATGTTATGAGTAAGTGGTAAATTAATATTAATGAATGAAATTTATAATTTCGCATGCATTTATATAATTTAGTTTAATGCAAATATAATACATTATTTTTATTTTTTAATAACGTAGCAAAACAAGAAGATGATGAAATAGTTTTGCATATTGTGTATTTATTTTACCAGCTGATATATCATCGAACAACTAGAGATGTCATAATAAAAGAAACTCGTATCCTTTTCATAAATTTTGCTTCCTCTTCTTCTAGAGATTGTAGCATAATGTTGCATTTTAACTAATACTAAAATGTAATACATAAAAATTAAGCATGGGAAATTTGATTGTAGTGTTTTTCAGTTTTTAACTCAGAAGCTATAATGTATGTATTTCACATTATTCAGCTTCTTTTTTGTATTCTGCTCTTATACAAAGTTAGAAACACCACATGATGAAAATCTTGTTAATATTTTCAAAAACATATTTTTAAAATTTTTCTAATAGCTTGGGATTATATACCAAGAAATGCAAAAAATGCATCTTTGGAAATTGTCTGTTAATTCTGGTTTTTTGAGTAAATTTTCCATATAATTAATTAATTGGAAAGGTTTAAATTATTTCAAGTTAAAATATGAAAATTTAAATATAAACATGAAATTGCAACTTAAAGGACCTTTTATGCTTATTAAATAAACCAATTAGGTCTTTCATTTAAATTAGTTCAAATAGATGAATTATGTCTTTGACTAAGATTTAATATATCTTTGATTAAAATTAGAATATACATAGATTTGTGATTTTTTTTACCATGTTTGATAAAATGCAGATTTTATGTTATTGTAATTTTAAATTCCATGTCTAATTAATTAAATATGCAGGAAAATTATTAGAAAAAGTAATTATATTGGCTATTTATCATATATTTTACCTAGCTGTGTAGGCATTAATGACAAATATAAATGCAGCAGAGATACATGCATAGTGAAATTTTAAAGATATTGAAGAAGTAAAATTCCTTGACTTTTTGTCAGAAATACCTGGGTACCTTTTAGATTTGATGCACGACAAAAATACAGAAATCAGAAAACTTTGTGATAGGAGTTTAGAAATTATTTCTGTAAGTTTTTTATGCTTTACTATGAACTTGAAGAGAATTGCTTGTTTTCTTCTGTGTTTATTAAATATTTTGTTTACTTTTAAGGAATATAATGAAGAATGGGCAAAAAAAATTCAGGTTGAAAAATTCCGTTGGCATAACTGCCAGTGGCTTGAAATGATTGAATCTCAGCAAATGGATGATGCAGACTTTTTTGGAGAAGATTCCTATACTCCTAGAATTCAAGATTTCCTTAATCCTTCTGATTTACTTTATGGAAGTGGTAAGAAGCTTTAAATTAAACAGTATACTGTGCAACATAAATTTGTAATGTCTCCTATTTCTGATTTACTAGAGAATATGATATTCTGTAATGCAATAATTGCATTCTTGAGAAAGTTGAAATTTCATTAATGGCATCCAAAAGGTCATCATCCTTTTTGAGTAAATGCAAAGTTATGTGTATATTATGTTAATATTCTAAGAAATTTTGTGAATCTTGATTATTTAAATTGTTTAGCTTTTCATTACCTTTGGAAAGTTCTTTCATTTTATGTAAGGATCACTGTATAGTCACTCAAGTATTTTCATTTAATAGTGATGGTGCCTTCAGACTCTCAAACAATATCATCAAGCTAATTAAGACACAATAACATGCCGAACAAATACTAATTCAGAAGTCAAACAACAAAACATCTGCACTTTGCAGCTGACGATGGTGGTTCGCTAAAACCATCAAAACTAGTCCTGTGAAAATTTGAAAATATAATGCTGATTTTTGTTGTTTGACTTCTGAATTAGTATCATCAAGTTAATTTTAAGCTTCTAATAATTAACACATTATGCATGTTTTAATTATCTTACAGTTTTTACATATCACTTCAGTACTTTCTGATTATCCACTCAAACCTAAAAAGAATTTATCAGGCAACACGCTATGTCATTAAAATGAGCAACTCGTGATGTTGGTGAAATGTATTTATGTAATAACCCTGATGTATGTGCATTAAATTAGCAGCAGTTATTAGTGTCTGTTTTTGTTACAAAGAGGGCATTCCCCCCCCCCTTGTAATGAATTGTAATGGAATTTGCTGGCTGATGAAAAATAAAGCATTGATTTTCTTCAGAAATGTAGTATTTTGCATAACAGTAGTAGAGAATTCAAAAATTTGTATGTGATAAATATGTGAGTCGCAAACAATCGAATTTTGTGGATCAAAATTTGCATGATAATGCTGAATATCTGCAGTTTTTTTTTTGTTTTATTTTTATTTTTATTTTTTTTTTAAGTGAAAACTGATTGTTATGTGCATGGGAAAATGTCTGATTCTGTGATGTGTTTTTAAGTGAAAGCACATCTTTTTTTACATGGGGAGAATGACTGTGTTGTACTGTGAATTATTATGGAAAACTACATTATATCTTTAGCTTTCAAGAGGCCTAAAATCTTTGGCCTTAAAGGCGGACAGCAACTGATTGCAAGCTCGCGTGAATTTGGCAAGAAGACTCACTTTCTACCCATCTAACTCTGCTCTTGGCAAAAACCAGTGCTAAGTTGTTCTGGGATTTTCTGCAAGTCTGATATTTTTTTAAGGCAAAGCAGGTTGCTATGTACATGGGAAGAAAAGTAGGAGGGGGAGTGTGAGTTTTCTAATGGATGTTTCTTATGTTTTTAATTTGTTAATTGGTTGCTGTTTCATAAAACCTTTAGTGTGGCACCACTTTTGAAAATAACTGTTGTCTCATGTCTTAGGTGGTGAAAAATTGGTTGCCAGCAATTTCCAACTTTTTGTAAGGGTTGGGCAAAGAATCAGAAAGTACTAAAACCTCTGTAATCATAAAAGTTGTATAGGTCATGGCTGAACATTTAGTGCCTGTCACATATATTGAGATCTAAACTTGGCTGTAGTGAAAGGTTTGAAATAAGATCATTTGACAGTGTCTATCATTTTCTTATTCTACATATGTGTTCCTCCAAAGCACAAAATAATGTAATTGTGAAATCAGCATGCTTTTATTTTGTATAAATTTTAATCAGCTCGATAATATGCAATGACCAAATGTGTGGAGTTCTAAATATAATTTTTAAAGAACAACCATTTATAGGGTTTTATGTATTTAACTTTTGACTTTCTAATTTATCACTAACAGCTATCAAGGCAATTTAATCTTCCCATTTATCTTATAGAATTATGCAGTCATCAGAATCAATCAATTTGTTTTAGCAAACAAAACAAATTGAAATTGCTTAATATGCAGTTCTAGTTATTTCCATTTTTTACATTATTGGATTAAATAACATGCATATGAAGTCTTATATTCATTTTACAGTAGTGGTTCAGATTATTGTTATACTCAGTGCATAATTTCAACCAAAATTCACCAGCTTCTAAACTTTACATTTCTAGTTATAATTTAGTAATTGATTTAATTATAATTTCAGTTAGGGTATTTTGAGAAGAATCAGTTGAAGTGTATTTAATTGCTGTAAATATAAATTGATTAAAGAATATCATCAGGAAAATCATAAGATCTACACATTACATATGAAATTTTCAAGGTTTGAAAGAATTAAAAGTAAATAAAAATATTCATTCAGTATTTTGCTGTTCCCCCCATCTTTGATTTACCATTCTGCAACAGTATGAATTTTCAAATCAAAGAAAAGGTAAAAATATATGATTAAATTAATAACAGTCTCAATTTTCTGTGTGTTAGAAAGAGGAAAAAAGACCTAATAATTGAAATTTTTAGTATTTGGGATCCTGGTAGTTTTGCTGTACTGTACTTAAAATCAAATTGTCTAGTAGCATAGTCTGGATCTGCTTCTGCTCTCTGCTAAAATGTTGTACATTCTTTTAGCTTGTTAGCAAGTATAATTAGATATTCTGCCTGTGGAAATGGAAATATATGTGAATTTTGTTTTGTAACATTGTGTGTATTCAAATAAGGATTTTCCCAAATCATAATTTTCCAACTATTGAGAAGATCCTGATTGTACTATATAGCAATATTTCACAAACTTTTCCTTATTTTTTATATTGCATATATGTGACAAAGGTGTAGAATATCAGTGCAGAAAATACTGCATAAGATTGAATCTAACGAATTTCTTTTATTTCTTAGTATGAGAATAATATTTCAGTTAAAATGTATGTAGTCACCATTCATTGTAAAATATAATGAGCTGTTATAAGCAGCAAAGCATATGTGAAATATAAAAAGAAAATGTTTATTACCCTTTTTTCCACATTGTGCAGTACTTAATCATGCTCATTGTAGAGTGTTTTGATAAGAGAAGCAATTTAAAAAATTATTCTGAAAATTATTTGATCTATAAGAAAAGCTTATGAAATGTGTTGAAAATAACGAAGCTATAAAATAGTAAGTAAAAATAAAAATGTGTTATTGAATATTCTTTTGTTTGCATTTTCATGGATTATGACCTTAATATATTATAATAACCAAAATATTTCTTAGTGGTTCTTAATTATAAGCAGCATACAATTATAATATATTTAGTTATAATGTTGAATTTGATGGGGGAAAAAATCTAAAATTTTTATGTGCTTGTAATCTTGTTTGCTTTTCTTCACTTTTCCTAGGAAATTTAGTTAGAGGCATGTTTTTTTTTCTTTTCGTAAGTGCAATTAATGTATTTTCAGTAACTGTTTATTATTCTTTTGCTTGCAGTTTAACAATAAAATAAAAGTGTCATGCTATCAGAGCTTAATTCATAAGAAAACAAATTAGTATTAATTTGCACAAATCAAATTATGCTAAATAACATTGATTTATCTGCAATTTTAAAAATAGACTGGCATTATATTTCAGTTGTTCTAAATTATTGACAAAAAAATGCTGTTATAGTATTGAAAATGAAACACCTCTTAAAAAAAAAACAGCTTTTAGCATTTTAAAGAAAAGTTAAATGGAGGTGGAGTATATTTGGAAAGATGTATATTTAAAATAGTAATCCTTTAAGTTTTTATTATTCTTCCTAATTGTCAAAAATAGGAAATAATCATTTCCTGTATATAGGATTTTATGTATAGTTTAAACAGAAATTACAGCAACTTATAAAAAATAATTCAACAGTTTCTTCTGTTAAAACTATAGATCTATTTATTCTTCAGAACATTCAACATTGCAAAACAACACATTTTTCTGTATGGTATGGTTAAACTAAAATAATTGGAGCATTTCTCTTCTAGTAAATATTGATATCTCTTGATAAAGAAATCAGTTACAGTAAATAACATTTAATTTTTTTTTTTTTTTTTTTTCAGGAGCTTATGAAAGTCTACTGAGTGATGAAAGCCTGTCACCTGATGTCTTAGAAGACTTGCCTTCTACAGTGTCTGTTGAAAACACATCTTGCCGTCCAAAGTCTCGTTACAAGAACAGGTGAGCAGGAAAATTTTGTATTATACAATATTCATAAACTTTTTTATACTAATTTTTTGTTAGATGTAATATTTTTAGTCCAAAGAGGCTTTGTCCCTGAGAGACTATTGTTTTCGTTTTGGTATTTTGCATTAAAATCTTTAAAAGGCTGTATCGCTTTTCAAACTATTTCCACTAAATATTATCACTTTGTATTATATTATATTTGAAGAAATTAAATAATGGAGAATCTGCATAAATGTATGTATGTTTCTGGCATTGTGATAAAATAACAGTATCTAGAGCCATGAAATTTTAAATGATGTAATCCTACTGTGAATATGGGCATCTGGAAGTCCAAATTTGAAATTTTGAATTTGTTTTAATATCAATTTCATATTTTGTAAAACTTTAACGAATTTCTGATTAACAAACTCAAGGACTTCAAGCAATGGCAACGTTTTACAGAATTTTTTTTTTTTTTTTATCTCCAGCGCATGAATTTCCGATACATGCTCCAGCGTGTATCGGAAATTCTAAAGATATATTCAATTTAAAATTATTTTCCGATATTGCTCTTGAACTGAATTTTGTGGTTTATGTGTGAAGAACATGATAATAAATAAAGAGAAAACACAAAATTAAAAAAAAAAAAAGCTTCTTTGGACTTAATTTAAAATCTGAAACCTTTGAGATTTTCTTTTTCCTAATTTTAAGAATGTGTGCATTAGATGAACTGCTGAGAAATAATACGATGACACATAATTAAAATTATTCAAAGAGTGTTAACAACTCACTTAAATCTTGCCTACTGTGAGTGGATTTATCAGCTGTATAAATATTAAAGTTTTAAATTTAAAATATGAAAAAATCCTATTTATGAGAAATAAGCAAAAAATTGTAGTTGGAATTCTAGTAGCATTTTTTCCGGTATATCAATGTTTAATAAAGTTTTCTGAATGGCATATTTTTAAAACGTGTATCTATTTATCTAATCATATATCTCTCTATCAAATTGTTTAACCAGTTTTAAATTATTGAAAAGACATATCTGTATTAAAATACTTCAAAATATTTTGAATGGGACAAGACTATTTAAAGAGTCCTATTGTTATTTCTCTAACGTCTGTTCTTGAGAATTGGTATTAAAAAGAAGGTAATGGGGAGAGTATCAATAAGAAAGTTTATTAAATTTTTAATATTAAAATGTCTATAGAATAGTTAATTGAATTTTGTATATAAAAACCTCTGTTGAAAAGCTCAGTTGTGTTTCAAGAATTCTGTTTAGGTGGGGAAAGTAAATTAAATACATCTTAATTAAATAAATGTTTTTCCCTGATTTTGATATGTAGAAAGATTATAAATTTATAGAATTTTTCAGAGAAGAGATTGTGAATGTGTTGATGATGTAGGTTTCTGATAGCTGGTTGTCCAGCTGAAATTCTGATGAAAATTTCTCATATGTAAGTTCATGCTTTTTGGAAAGCCTCATAAATTTGATAGCAGGATTATTTGTGTTCAGGAAGAGATGTTTTTGGGGAACTGGGATTTGTTGATAGGATATTTGCACAGTTTTTTACTTTTCTTTCAGTCATTGCAATCTTACAAACTAAATGTTTCACTGAATAAAATGTACATGTAGAATTCACTATTTAAATCTTCCGAAAAGCACTCATCAAAGTTTTCAGTCGAATCCAGACAATGCAGTTTAAAACTCTTGTTCATTTTCTTCATCACAGCTTTCCAGAAATGACAATTATCCATTCATAATTTGTTTTGATAGGAAATAAAATGTTTTCTTGCAACCTTTTATTTTGTGAGGTATTGACAAAAGGGTGATATGTGTTTATTTTTTAGATTATTCAACTTATTTATTTACAGGAAGATGCAATCAAAAAGTTAGACTACACAGGCACTATCCATGTAAATCTTTCTAAATTTACATATGCTGTGAGAGGAGAAAGCTTGAACTTATTTCACGTGATACAAATGAACTTTCTTTTGGAGAATCATCTTACCTTAGCTTTTTTTCTGTTCTTTTTTCAGCAAGATTGCAAATAATCTAGAATTGTTCTGCTGGGAGTTTATGAAAATAATAGTTTTTATTTCTTCTATGATTAACATGGTAACATTCTATATTAATATATTTTCAAATTTCACAGCACTGATTTTTCTTGCATCATATTAATATGGGAGACCAAACTACTAAGCCTGTTAGTCAGCATGTGCACCATAGTACACTACATAGGAAAATGCATTTCAGGATAAAACATAAGTTTAATTTTTATATTTTAAAAAGTATCTTCTTAGATTTATCGAATAAATATTGTGCCCTCATTGGCTATTGAATTCAGAATAGCTGCTAATGATTTCAACATAACCTTTGAACTTCAGTAATTTCACTGATTAATTCGATCACCGTAGGATTTGTATCACAGTGTGATTTTATTTTTATAAATTTTATGATTATATGAAAATAAATTGTGCTTAAAAAAAGAACTTTAAAGATAATTTTACCAGCCCTTTCAAAAATAAAAAATAGTGTTCTAAAAATATTATGCAGTTAATAGCACAGAATATTTTTGTTCTTTTAAAGCATCATCAGAATTACTTTTGTCACACTTGTGACCCTCGGTAAAAAAAAAAAAAATAATAATAATTTTCCAGTCTAGTAAGTTTTGCTGCTATTAAACTTTTTTTTTTTTTTGTTTTGTTGTTGTTTTGTAGAAGACAGCATGCTATTTACAGTAGTTTTGGCATATTGTTTGAAGTCTTCAGAGGTATTACACTACTGGCCATTAGAATTGCAACATCGGGGAGGAATGATCTGACAAATGTCAAAATCACATGAAAGGAAGAAGAATTTGGGATATGCAAATTATTATTATTTCAGCACATTTAGATGTTGCAGGAGAGGGAAACGACACCTGAAGCACTGCATAACAGAAAAGTTGTGTAGTGGATTTCACATTTGGAAAGTGCTTTGTAAGGTTGGAGTTTGCTCAGAATGTCATGTTATGCCTCGAATAAGAAGAGAAAATGCTTACTAGAAAGTTTTGAAATTCGATAGAGGCAGGATCGTTGGCTATCAAAAGCGTAGATTAGGGTTCTGTGATATCGCTGATCGCACTGGTTGACAACCAACTACTGTCATGCGAATATGGAATCAATGGATTGCTGATGGTCATACTGAATGGCATGCAGGATCTGAATGCCCACCCATGACTAATGCCAGAGAGGACAGACATATTGTGAAGTCAGCCATGCAAAACCGTATGATCATATCATGGACCATTAGTCAGGAAATGGGCATGTTTCAGCATGTAACAGTATCAGCTTGTAAGTTGCGTTGATGTTTGCAGTAGTGTGGACTATCAATAGGTCAACCATTACTTCAGCTTTCTTTGACAATGCAACATAGAGAGAGAGGAGGCGACTCTGGTGTGCCAAATGACAAAGATAGGTACAGAAGTAGCACAATTCGCCTTTTCAAATGAGTAGTGGTTCTATGTGCAGTATTCTGATGGCTGTATACGTGTCTGGAGAGTCCGAGGAGACCGCACATCACCTGCTTGCATTCAGTATCAGCATAGGGACACTGCACCTGATGTGATGGTTTGGGTAGTCATTTGATGCATGGCACACACATCTCTAGTTCGGATCGACAGTAATTTGGACGCAAATGGGTACATTTCTGGCATCTTACGTCCAGTGGTTGTGCCCTATTTCCGAGGCCCCCAAACGCCATGTTCTAACAAGATAATGCAAAACCACATGTTGCACGTCGTGTTCTGACTTTCCTCGATACACAGGGTATTCAGTTGCTGCCCTGGCCTGCACAGCCTCCAGATCAGTCACCCACTGAAAGCATGTGGTCATGGGTTGCTGAGAGACTGGCCGGCCATCCCTCTGCAGCTAATACGGTTGGTGAAGTGTGGCATAGACTTAGAGCAGCATGGAATGAGTTGCCCATTTCTGTCATCCAAGCCCAATTTGATTCCATGCCTAATTGGTAAGGGTCGTTTTAGTTGCCAGAGCTGGCAGCTGTTTCTAATAATTTTGCACCCCTGTAAACCTCCAAAATGCTTAGAAATTTAATCATTTTGTCTTCATGCCATACTGTTTACGTGCAATAAATATCTTTTTTGTATTTGCTTTCCCTTATGGTGTTGCAATTTTAATGGCCAGCAGGGAAAATACGTATGTAGAACTCTAATTTCAAATCTGCAAATAAATTTTGTGTCATATTAAAAAAATTAAGTAAAATGGTGAAGGTAAAAATTTTGCTCTTACCAAAAAAGGAAAAAAAAAAAAAAAAAAAAAAAAACCTTTTCATGAATATTCTCTATAAATTCAAAAAATAGTGAGGAAATTTACTGTTAAAAATAACTGTTGTGATTCTTTGAATATTAGAACAAAAGTTTGTAAACCACATTTTGTCTTATTATTGTTTATAACAAATTTGGCAAATTTCAGAATGTGCCAATTTATAAATTCATGCATATTTTCAGAAATTTTGAATAAAACTTAATTTTTTGCAAGTGTGCCTAGAAATATATCTTTTTTAAGATGATGGTAAAATTTTTGTAGGTCATAATTCAAAATCTTTTGGGAAAAATTTATAAAAAGTTATTTCAAAATACAAATTTTAAAAATAAACCAGAAACAATATATGAATTGTAATTGGCTGAAATTTAAAATTTCAAATTATAAAAGAAGAAATAAAGCAAGTTAATCAAAATCGTAAAAAACAACCTTATATTTAGCGTAGGTATAATGAAACACTCAATCGATTTCGAGGGCAGCTAAAGGTCCCTCCTCATCAGGAGAAAGAAATACATAGAAAGAAGAAAATAGGAGAAGGAGTCACAGAAACACGTAGCACTGCACGTGGTTATAACTAGTGCAGTGCTGATAAGCACTACGTGTTTCTGTGACTCCTTCTCCTATTTTCTTCTTTCTATGTATTTCTTTCTCCTGATGAGGAGGGACCTTTAGCTGCCCTCGAAATCGATTGAGTGTTTCATTATACCTACGCTAAATATAAGGTTGTTTTTTACGATTTTGATTGTCACATTAGCGTGTTTCTCTTCTAGTCTAAAGCAAGTTAAGTTTTAAAAGAAATATCATTATATATATGCAAAATTCAATTAAATTCTAAGGTTAAAATTTTGAGTGCTAATTAAAAAAAAAAAAAAACTGCTGTTATGATTTTCACAGAACTTGGCACTTTGGCATAATTTGAGGAATTGAAGTATGGAGAAAAAATCAGCATGTCATTCAGAAAAAGCCTGATTTTGTGTCAGAATATTTATATTAGAACAATGCTGTAAATCTAATATATATCCTCAGTCATGCTTTTCAGACAAAAAAAGTGCAGGTTTACTTTTGTTCATCAGCCCAACTTGAATGAAAACTATTGCACTATTTTATTATTATTATTGTTATTATTATTATTATTATTATTGTGTTAGTATTCATCTACACCAAGATTTTCTGGTCTATTTACGGATCATAGTGGTATATCAATATTTATTCCACTGTTATTAAGTGTCCATAGAGTTTGTTCCTTAGCATGAAAATGACACAGTGAAAATTCTTAGCTATTATTTCAGTCATGAGTGACAGTCTATTCGATTCTTGTTTATTTCTATATATTTTTAAGATCCATTCACTGTGCATTTTTAATAACTCCTATGTTTTTGCTAAGCTTTCATTAAACACAAACTAATTTTTAGTTCTTTTTGTTTCTCATTGAATAAAGATCTCAATATCATTTACTTAGTTACTGTGATATTTAAAATTTTTATAATGATTTATAAAGTTGGGACATATTTTATTGTTTGTATGTACATTAATTTGCATTTGGTCATGGTATGCCATAGTATTTCTCTGGGAAATGTTGCCTCGATTCTTAGAAAATTAGCATGCATATTTTAATTTGATAAATTATGAGTAAAAATTAATGAAAATTGTTTAATTGAGTTTTTTCAAAAATATGTATTTTTTAAGATTCTGCAGTATTATCCATTCCCTTTTTTTAATTACATTTATAGGTTAGTTGGAGCTGAATAGCAACTGTCTTCATAAGCTACCTGTTTTTCATGTGTTGTCAGCAATGCATATCTATTTCAGTCTTCAGCATTGGAAAGTAGGACCTATTAAAATATAATGATTTTTTTGTACATTGATTTTACATCATATTTATTTATGCAGCTTTTTTACAATTATATTGTTAAATTATATTTATTTATTGATGTGCAATAAAGATTGTTAAAAACATATGATGTCGTCAGAAGATATTCCATTGTTTTAATTTCCTCACTTTTGCAAAGAAATCAATCACATTAATGATCATTTGCACTTTTATAACATTGCATTCAGTTTGAAGTTTCATATGCAATCCTTTTTCAAAATTTAGTTATTCATCAAACAAAATTTAAACACTTTCACATTTTTTTTGTACTAATAAAATATTCAAATAGGATTGAAAACACTTCATTATTTTTCAATATGGTTTCCCTATCACATTCAGTTCATATTTGTTCAGGTATCTGTAACATATGGCTTTATCAAGCCCTTTTTGATTGTGTAGTCATCAATGTATTATCTTTTAACTCTTTTTTTTTTTTTTTTTTTTTTTTTTTTTTTTTCTGAATATTTTTCAGCAAGTACTTGAGAAGATTCACTTGTTCTTGAAGTGATATGTATTTATCCCCTGTAATGCCACTTTATTCTTTGATGAATGTTCTGTTATCTCATCTTCATTTATTAACCCCTTCACGACGGCATACTGCTGAACTGAAAACCTTCTGGAGATGGGTGTATCATATATGCATCAGTTCCAAATGTCACTAGTAGCCAGGTGATGTACTAGTGCATTGCCACATGCATTGATCTTCCAGACGGGTGTATCAGATATGCACTTTCAAACATATGTGCTCTTTTGGAATATTTTTAAATCACTAGATGGTGTTTTGTGTCCACTGCAGTTAGCTTATTTGAATATATACATTGTTGGCCTTGTGTCTGTGAAGTACTTTATGATTCTGGTGATTTGTTTAGATGTAATAGTAATATAAAGTAAGTAAGTAATATAAAGTAAACAAAACCCAGCTGAGGCATAGAGAAAGTTTCACATGATATAAACATTGGACAGTTTATGATGCTTCAAATTTGTTTTTTTGTTTTTTTCCTATGGAAAGATTGGGAGGGGAGCTGTGGTTTTAGGAATCGCATTTATAGTCACTTTGCATCTTCTTCAGATAGCAGATGTAAGGTTTTTTGCACCAGTTAAGAGAATTAAACTAATAGTGTGATGTCTAAGATAAAGAACTTTGTATGGGAAGAAAAGTATATTCGAATTGTAAACGAGCCATGAGTGACTATTTTGACACTGAAGATTCAAGATTTTAACGAGGAAAGCGATTTGGATACTGAAATTTTGTGAAGGACTAAATTGGAAGCTTGTTTTGCTTTCACCTCATCAATCCAGCACAGCAGTGGATACTCCATCATGAACTCGATCTGTTAAATAATTGAAGTCTTGTGAATTTATGGGAATTGCAGAAGTAAATTTATTTAAAAGTTATTGAATGAAATTGATTTTTTCAGTTTTTTCGAGGATGATCTAATGAACATAGTAGTTGAAGAAACCAATAATTTCATTATCAATATACTCCTTTAGTTGTGCCTAAACTGAGGGGGATTTCTAGAATTAATGACTCTACTGGGAATAATTAGAAAGCCCGACCTGAAAGTGTATTTTACAAGTAAGGAAATACTAGCGATTAGACTGTCATACACTGTCTGCTTTCTGAATCATTTATGTTATAATATTTAATCATATATTTTATTATTTTTTACAAATGCTTAGATATAGATTTAGGTAAGTTTCATATAATATTTCATCAAGTTGAATCAAAGATTTTATTTTACGTTTAGGTTGTAACAAAAATTTTTTTCAGAAACTCTTGCTATTCTGTATTTATGATTACATTACTGTTAGATATCATTACAGAAAAAATAATAATAATTAAAAAAATATTTTTAAAAGTTAGGTTTAGCAACATGAAATTACCCTGTTCTGCGAGATGGTACTACTGCAACAGTCCACCGTCTGCAAGGTGAGTTGCACTAAATGGCATGCAGTCTCATAAGAAGATTAAATACTGATGCATATATTATACACCCATCATTAAGGGATTAATGTAACCATCTTGGCATTCCATAGTTAGTTTATATCCATTGATAGCATCATAAACTGTCCTTGTTTATATTCACTGATAACATTTTCCCATCCAGTTGACAAGTCTATGCACACTGATATTATATTGCTGTGAATGGTATAACATATCAGTGTCCGTCTAAAGCTATTTACTGTATGATTTTGATTTTTTATTGCCAGAATGTTGTAGCTTTTTTCCCCCCATATATACTTGTATAAGTAATTATTTACTGTTTAATAGTGGCAATTTGATGACAGGGAAATGAGCCAGTTGTATGGTTGATTTTTGTGGTTTTCCCCATGTCTAATATGAATACCATGTAGCTTCTCTTAGAAAGTCCTCCACAAAGACCTCTTTTTAAGCAGATATCCCTTGTGTGCCTTTCCATATTCAAATAACCTAACCTAATTATTCATCATCTATTAATATATTATACTTGTACAAGTGATTCTGCATAATAATATATAAATGTTAGTTTTGGATATTATTTTTCTTAATGTTCAGTACTTAAAAATTTAATAAAAGACTGAAGACAGGAAGTTTCAATAGTAATTTATTGTGACAGAAGCATTGTGAAGGTATAGTGTATTATTACATTTTATTGTTACAGGAGTTTTCATTTAACAGATTCCATCTTTAATGGATAAAGTGCTCTCACTTGAACTTGTGTAGTGCTTAGAATCGATATGCCGATGAAGATCAATCTTTCGTTGAAATGTCCTGTTGCAGATGATGCACAGGAAGGGCTTGAAGCCTGTGTGTTTGCGACTGTGTGTGATTAGATTAGATGACTGGCTGAAAGCTTTGCCACATACCTCACATTTGTGTGGCTTCTCTCCTGAAAAATTATGACATATCTCTAAATATGCATTTTTGTCAATGGAAAAATGGGAAAAGTAAAATTATGATTTTATGAAGCACATTAGAATCACGCTTAAGTATACTTATAATTTATAAATATTTTCTAGAAAATCTGTTAATTAAAAAATTGTAAATTGCATAATTACATTAATAAATCATGGTTTTATTATCACATCATTATTACACATTTATTTTCACATATAATAATTATATATTTATATCAAATATATATCATATAATGGCATTCATGTTATTTAATAATGTGTATTGGATTTAAGCTGATATATCATTCTATCAGGATTTAATTCATAAGAATTGATGAAGGCCATCAGATTTTAACAAAAAAAATATATATGAGATTTAGGGATTGTAATGGTTTTATATTTAAGATCTTTAATGTCTTTGTAATTTTTGGTTCTAATTTTATTTTCTTACTATAATTATATATAAAGAAAAATTATATAAACATCTAATTTAGGAAATAGCCTCATTCTCATTTTAATGCAAGTCGGTTTTTTTTTTTTTTTTTTTAAAAATAGTAATTGTTTATAGCCCGTAAGCGACTTCATTTCAAAATAAATAGAGCCATATATGACTTTGCCTATGCTATGAGTAAATTGTTTTGCAAAATGAAACTCAACCAGCCAATAATAATTTTAGAAAGTATCAAAACTAACCCACTCTGAATTAAAATTTTGTCTTGAACACATCTCACTTGTTTTCTACTTCTCAGCCTATCCAGACTGCTGTTGTGCGTATGTCTTTTTACCGCAACCATATAAAAGTGTAAATATTCTAAAACAGGCCTTATTAGTGCACCACATTATTAATAGTTGCAAATGTCAGTTAAAATAAACATTAATGTTTGAATCTGCCATGACTGCTTTCACTGCATATACTTGACTTAAGTATTTCTAAGTATGGATCAACATCTGGGCAATCAGTGGCATACCTACATTATTGTATATGCAGAGAAGCACTGTTTATATGTCTTTCAAGGGAATCATTCACAAACGATATATATATTCAAGAAGAGAAAGATGTATAAACAAAATTTTAATTTAGGATGTGAAGCATATTCCGTAATGAAGAGTGAGAATTCTGAAGTGTAGAATGCTGAAATGCCGACCCACAATAAATAAAAAATTTGGCAGTCAAGGTATATTTAATCCAACTTTTATTTCAGTAAACATTTTGTAGCCACAATCAAGTTGGCACATTAATTGTGCCTATTGCAAGAGGTGTTTTCATTTTTGATGAATTTGCAGTAAGATAGAAGGAGCAGACGGACAGCTGTGCAGCTAGGCCAAAGTGTTGCAAGCAAGTGCGTTATGTTCAGGTTGAAATCTTAACTCAGACTGAGTTAGTTTCAGTTCTCAATGCATTTTGATTGGATAGTTAATATTGCTGTAAAACCAGTTGGCTGCGGAGGTTTTAGTTTCATTTACATCATCAGAAGGAAGAGTCATGGACATAGATTTTCTTGAAAGATGCAGTGCAAATAAAGCTACTATTTTTAGAAGACAAAGGGAAGGACTTTTGGCTGCTAATTCTTTTACATGTTCTTTATTTTTCTACATATATAAATAAGAGAATATATATATTCTCTTTTAGTTAAATTTTTTTTAATTAAAATATTCTTTCCTACTTTATTATTAGAAAGTTATCAAGTAGTACATGGACTAATGTATACATTAAGTATACTTCGTGTAATGCAGGGTTTCTTAAATGTTTTTCAGTAACAACCCCCAGGACCCCATAATATTCACAAAAATTTTGTGGGACCCCATAAGTATTGCGCAAATCCAGCACACGCGTGAGTGAAACTGTCAATTTCTTCACTTGTTCTGTAATATACTATTGCAGTTTTAGGTCATTAACTTTAATTTCTAATTTTAAGACATAGAACAATGTGAAAATTTTAAATAAGTAACAGATGAAATGAAAGCATCATGTGCAAAGCAAGGAAAATGAATGTTTATATTATAAAAAGAATACATTAAAACGTTTTCGTATTTTTCTTTGTCTGTATTGTCTTTATTTATTTTCAGATACATTGTGTAAAAATATTCGGTAATTGTAAAATTATTAAAATAAATTAAAGAAATATCAAAACTGCTAAAATTTCTGGTGACTGCCTGCTGCAGGTCGCGACCCACAGTTTAAGTAACACAGTTCTAAAGCATCTCTTGATTAAGCTTTACCCGTTGAAAATAACAGAAGACAGATTTCTTCGATATATTTGTTGCAGAGGTGCATCTTGGTGCATTCATTATAACTAACACTATCACCAGGATTATTGTGAGTACAAGAAAGCCATGTGAATAATTTCTATAAGATCCAGCAGGAAGGGAACTGTCATAGTAAGGTATTGTGATGGTACACAATAAACACATTCATGGAAGTCCTGAAAAAATGCTGTATGTATAACAACTAGCCTGTTTAGTAATAGATGTTAGCATTGCTTGCTGCCATATCTTTGGCCCTTGTTTTGAATCCTTAAGAAGGGAGGAATGTTTTTAAGGGTACAGTATTTGTGCAGCATGGGGGCACTTTAAACACTGGCAAGCCTAAATTTCTCTTTAGTGGTCTGATGATACAGAAAGAGGGGTGATAGACCCTTAAATCCGTCCCTTGGAGGTATCTGCGTTAAAATCGAGGTGAAGCTTCACAATCGGTACATATTTTACCTGTGCGACTAGTGGTGAAATTCTGGTCTCCCGCCCAATTCTACCTGTACCTGTAACATATTGTATTACAACCACCATTTAATTTAAGCTGCACATTAATTTTTGCAGGGTTCTACAGGTGCTTTTATTTCTGATGCACACTGTCATTTATGGAAAAAAATTCATGATTATCTAAATATTACATCACACAGCTATATACTGCACTATACAGTTAAGTTTCTGTTCCATCTACTTAATCTTTCTGTATTGTGCAACTATGTAAAAAATGAGACAACATTAATTACACGTAATAAAATCTCATAGCTAGTACAGATTATTCCCAAAATTCGGGATATTCTACTCAAAGGCCCCTTCAAATCATAGTTAGACAAAATGTTCAATATAATTGTAATTAGACTATATAAATGCAGTTTCATAGTAATTTTAATTATCCAATTACTTTGTAAGTACAATTATAATGTAATTGCAGTTAAGTAATTGTGAATTGTAATTACAAAGTAATTACATTATCTAATTACAGTTACAATATTATTGCAAGTGTGTAATTCAGTTACAGTTATGATATAACTGCAATTATATTTTGACTAATCGATGAAAATAATCTGAAAGCTTTCATATTTTATATTATGCTAAAAGGGACGTTTTTTAATTTTATGTACGCATACACGTTCCGAGAGCATTTGGACTAACAAAGATATTCAAAAACAGCATATTTTTAAAATTTCCGATAGGCAGTCTTGTGCACTGGAGATAAAAATATTTTATTCCATACAGTGTTGCCACTGCTCGCTTTGAGATCGTTGCGTTTTTAATCAAAAATTCATTAAAGTTTTACAAAATATGAAATAGATAGTTCCAACAAATTCAAAATTCCGGTTTCCAGTAGCCCATGTTCGAGGTGGAGGACTAGATTATTCAAAATTTGATGGCTCTAGATACCGCTGTTGTTTTTTCCCGCAATGCAAAAAAAATACCTACGTTCATACAGATTCATTATTTAACTTCTTTTAAATATAATACAGGGCGATAATATTTGGTGCAATAATTTGAAAAGTGATTCAATACTTTTAGTGATTCGACACAAAATGCAATTTCGAGACTAATAGCCCTTTTGGGATAACGCCTGTCGGGGGCGTAGCTAGAGGGGGGCATCTGTCTCCGGGCGCAGAATCCAAGGGGCGCCAAACTGATGTTACGACATTTTAGAATTAAATGTTTTCTATCATTGGCAAGCAGTAGGGGGTACGAAATCTTCAGTTGTCCCTGGGCGCTGAAAACCCTAGCTACGACTCTGACGCCTGTTTGGGCCAAAAATAATTGATAATTAAATTAAAATGCGGTAAAATATAAAGATTATCTAACTAAATAAAATTACTAATAATTAAATGAAAATTCCATAAAATATAAATAATATATAATAAAAATTTTATAAGACATAAATAAAAATTTTATAAATTATCAAGTTTATGAGAAATAGTTACAGAAATAAAACATCGGACCTCGTCTTATTTTGGGCTCCGTCTACATTTACAATTTCATTCAGAAATAGCTCAGCCGACATCCGGCTGAATTTAAGCCCTGAACATAGTGTATAACGTACTATTTCAAAAGATGAGGGAAACAAAAACCAGTCAAAAGACTAGTTTTTGTTCAGCACGCTAGTGAAGAAACGTAAAACGATTAAAGCATTGCTAATGAAAATAGACTATCAGAAATAGTATGAGAGTATGGAAAGAAATTTAAAGGGAGAAACATAGCTTCGAAAACAAAGAGTCCAACACTGTCTGATCACGATGCTCTGCCGATATAATTCTAGTTGTCAAGCAGAATGCTATTGGGGAAGGGGGAGTTTTCCCCAAATCCGATCTGATAGCATCATGAGAACAAACGTAAGGTCTGCTCAAGTTACAATTTTCGTCTCCTGTATTTAGTTACATTGTTCAAATGTCTGCAGAAGCTCTGCAATGGGAGGTTACTAGCGCTGGATCTGCACGACCAAAAGGTAGTCACTGTTAGCACTTTCAGGAAGGAAAAATTTTACCCATTCTCACGAATTCATTCCACTAGCTGGAGAATAAGCCTTCGACATGGAGGTGGAGTCATTGCTTAAAAGTCTCAACCTCCTTCAAAGTGTTAATTCCACAGACAGGCATGCATTCAGAAGTCAGAATTGATTTTTAAAGCATATTTATTATTAAAATAAAATTCGTCTGCTGTGTTTCACTTACATAAAAGTGCCGGAGCTCTTTTATTTAAGGCTTCTTTGGGATCCGGCTAGAATTACGAT